AACGAACGAACAGTGAAAAAAGCACATGGATCAGTAACATTTATTTTGTAGACCTCTAAACAAGAAGTGAACCGAGCCATGCTCCGCCTATCATTAAAACCGAGACACGTCATTCGCTTGCATGCATAATTAATATCAAGGGAAACTATAAGGGTTACTTTGCTATCCCACGGTACTGAGTGGTAACAAATAGACTTAATAGAACAGGTAAGCAGTCAATATTTTTGTTCCTAGATATTAATTGTTGTTCAGTCAATGTGTGTTCGCTCGCCTCTAATTTATTCAGCATTATTTGCAATATTAGAGGAGGTTATTATCACTTAAAAAATCGCATGACTGTGATTGATACTCACAATACACCCATATGGCATTGTAAATAATCATCAAAGTGTTTGTTTTTTTGGTATTCACAGTTTTCGAACATTTACAATTTTGATTTTGTCCTTTATGCCTGTTTTCCAGAAGTTAGATTTAATATGTGTGTAACAATAATAAAACAATATTCTGGACCTTCGAATAATCGCGTGTAGTTTTACAATATAACCATGGTCACATGCACTGGCTTCAACAATCATGCCTCCACACAAAGCCTAGTTATGTTGATGGCATGTCATCAAAGTGCGAAAGTCGGGAATGTATTGTTCACTTTACAAAAATGGTGTAAATACTTTTAATACAAATTATGTATAAAATAAACTGTATAAAATAAAACTAAAAAAAAAAACTAAAAAAATACAGAGAGATTTAATTCGAACATATCTTAAAATAGTATAGTAGAGATTACTGACAATCCCTAGAATAACAGAAGGCATCACAATTTTTTTTTTCAAAATAAACTGGTTGTGATATTTCATTTATTTAAAGTATGGAGACATGATATTTTTTTATTTTTTTATTGAACGTCCAGTCTTCAGCCTGCTTCATCATTGGGTGAATTAATGTTTCCACCTCATGCACACTCGTGAGAGTGGGGGGGGGGTGTTGTCCAAGATTAACATCAACTACGCTTATTAGGGTCAGGGACCTGAACATGATAGCTACACATATATGTGAAATAATGTCGAGTAAATAATTTATAAATTTTAACATAGGTGGGTGTTGTGAGCTGAATTGTTCGATTTAACATGGGATGAATGAAATGAAATTGAGGGATAATATTAGGCCTAGCAAATATACTACTCGTTATTTTTTTCGAAAATATGGCGATATTTTATCTGTTTTTTCGAATGTATACAGACATGTTTTGTTAAGCATTCTATCATCTCACATTTCTCTGAATAAAATCGGCACAATCATAATCATAAAATTCAGAAAACTAATCAAATATTAGCTGTCTAAAAATAAATATTCACATTTACCTTGAGATGGCTATAAAAGACTTCTGTTTGTTAAAGGAAGTAAAACGTATAAGTTGTTACTTCTATACTTGAACCCAGAACACGATTCCATTTTAGAGATTAGGCACTGATTTATCAAATTGTACATATGTGAGTTGTATATGTTCAGTGTTTCTACTTGTTCCAGTGTAAAAGCGAGCCATTTTGTATATCATATATTTATTATGTCTTTATTCCCATACATGTCTCATTATAAAAACGAAAGCAAAGACCAAACACCACTGTTCGTTTATCGCTGTTATTCACACATCGTGCCAGTGGCTGTACAATATGAAGAAACTAGTGTTGCTTCTTTCCGTGTTACTCATTGTGACCATGTTCATTGATGGTGGTAGTGGTTGGTTTTGGGGAAGACAAATACCAGTAGATGTTGGCGACCCCATGTGAGTAATTGTAGTTTTGTATGTCAAACAAAATTGATATAATCAAAAACCAAGATGACTCTGATATGAGCGAGTAATAAGAGATCCCCTCCCCATTGCAGCATTTGCCAGACTTAGTTATATTTCTGATCACTGAATGTAGTCCTGTAAACTTCAATTACAGTCAAATAACCTAATTTGAATATTTATGTGAATAAATGATTCGAAAACATCATGTAATATATCAGATGAAAGAATTTTGGAGAATTTAAATTTGAAATACAATCATAAATCGGAATAACAAGGTTTGATGTTGTTAAATTTATTTTATAAATTATTCAAAATTGAAAGTTGGCAACACTGATATTAGCATTGTAAATACAGAACGGGGAAATTTGTTTTGTGAGAATTGGCTCTCAAAATAAGTCGCATGATATAAAAAAGATTAATATAATATTCAGGTATACAATTTCAGAGTGAAAAACATTTAATGTAGAATTCAAAGTTGAAATAATTCTATGGATTGGTAGAAACACTTTGTGACGTGCTGTTATATTAGTTATAACAATATTGATTGGTTTCCAAATTGTTCATGCCTGTACTGGCACTACATGGCAAATATATTTATATACGTATTAAAATGTGGTTATTTATAGATAAACTCCTAACTAATGCAACACATCAGAAACATCGGCAATTTTATGTCCAAACTATATGGAGAATCCTTCATATGATACCACAGAGTCTAGCCAAACTGTAATGTTTAGTCTCTTAGACTGTGAATAAATACGGAGGCATATACTACATTGCTAAATAGACTGGGCAGATTATGCGTAATGTTCACTGCGACTTACCTTCATAAAGTAATGCCCAGTATCACTTACAATGGCACACTGTCTGTGAACGACATATATAAATTTAAACGGTATTTAAGTAGCCAGTGTATAAAATACAAATTATGATGAAAAATACGGTATGAAATAAATAATAATTGTCGATAAACAACTCAAAAAAATGCAGAGAGATTTAGTTCGAATATATTTGGAAAAAATACTAATTGACAGATTAATAGCAAATCAATGATTGGGTCGTAATGAGAATAATACGACAGAAATAATATTCCAGGCTGCCACTAGTAAGGGTTCTTAGTACAGGAACAGTTTTTGTTAAAGTGCATAATGATTTAATGATGTTTATATATGACCGCAAAATTTCAATTTTTTTAGAGAGCTAGATTTTATAATGTTGATATTAATAATTATATCGTTACTGATATCTTGGTTGGATGGTTGGTCAAAGTAGTTTTGGTAGCACCGATGTTTTTCACTCATGGTTTAGATCTTACTCAAGCCATTATTTTATTTCTATGTCTATTCTCGACACCTTCCCACTCATAATTAATTAGTCGATATGATATTTCATTTTTATTTTATTATGTGTATGTATGTTTATATGCACATTGTAGGACAATCTAGGGATAGCATATTCCTGAGTTACCACATTAATGTTAAACTTTAAATGCAGTATTTGTGTTGACGAATATTGAAACACTGGGTGAATATTTATAAAAAAAACTATATTGAATATCGTCTGTACCACAATAATTAAGAATTCCTTGCCAAAAAATTTAATTCGACTAATAAATTATTTGAAGCTATGCCTCATGTAAATGTAGTATGTGTATGCATACAATATAATCACATAAAAATACACTTTACAGTTGTGCACAATTGATAGTGGGATTCTTTTTATAAGATGGAAAAGAAGTAATCTGTAGAATGTTTGAGATTTGATAGTACATACAAATAAATTCCGTCACTAATAATATTTTTGTTTGTTTTTCAGTGATGAAACACAAGATGAAGTTGGAGGTGGAAGCCAGGATGATACCATGTCACCCTTTGGCAAAATGTTGAAACGATAACAATATTCATGTCGTCCTACATGTCACGTCAATTCTGTTTAGATGTTAGATTGTTATACCAATAAAGCCTTGCTTTATTTTCTGCATACTGTCACAAACATGCACAAACTTCTGTTGTTATTACCTTAAGTCATAGTGGTAGAACTAGTAATACAAAGTATATGCAGACGATAAACTATTCCACAAATACTTTCAACGAAGGAATTACGAAATTAAATAGAGCATTGAGATTCGGTGAAGTACATTAAACAATTCTTCTTCGGTGATACCCACTACGTTATGCGAGTTCAAGTACTATTTTCTAAATACATGTTGCAAAATACGCTCATCCTACTCGTGTCCACGCGTGGATATCAAATCTGTTAAAAGTTTTCACTCACTTCATGTAAACTAATGGCACATATACAAAATTTAAGACACACCAGATGATTAACAGTTACTGATGTTTCATAACTTATACCATGCTTATTACATCATAGGTGTCACAATATTCGATGCACTGAACTGGTCATGCATCAACTGAGGAATATATTGTTTTGGAATATATTATTCACCTGAAGTAAATAAGATGGGGACTTAGAAAACAAGTTACAATAAAAAATACGTCTGCCGATTATCAATATCAATTGCTGATATACAACGCAGAGAGATTTAGTTGCAATGCGTGTGTTGACGAATATCGAAACAATAGGCGAATATTTATAATAATGTATTGCATTATCATTGTCACAGTGTAAGGTCTGCTTATTGCTATTGAGAAGAGCACCCACAGAACTCACAGTGGACATGGGGTTCTTTCAATAGTGCAGGAAATGAAATACACATACAACAAAATATGAAGTTCAAGATCCTTCCTTTAATACCTCTCAAAATAATTACAAGAACCAAAACACAGAAAAATACAATGAATAAATTCACTAAAATAAGGGATTGATTAGGGAGGTGTGCATTGGTGATAACTCACAGTTCCAGGATGCAGACATGGATGACAGTTAATGGCTTCTGCAACACAATGACGAAGAAATACAGGAGTCTTGCTTGCAGAGGAACGCGGTTATTCTGGGGGCACCACTGAAAGCAGGAGATCGCAGATCAGTTGATAGAAGTCTCACAGAATGGTGATTGTAGCCTGTATCACTTGTTTCACAATATCGCAGCAACAACACAAAGGGTACTCAGTTGAAATGATCAACCACAACTGTCCTCAGTCTAGCCTATTTATATGCATGAATGGCCCAGATTCAGGTACACCACCTGGGTTTGCACATGAGTCAATCAGAATGTGGTCTTGCCAGCAGCTGTCGTAGGCAAGTCAGTAGATCGTACACATTCTTTGTTATGCAAATCATAACCACACCTGGTAGATTCCAATTGTCTTTCCTGAGTTGAAAACAAGTATGACCTGTCAATCACCTTTATTACAGTTATGACACGGCAACGCACACCGTTTCCTTCCATGATTCCATACACTCTGCTATTCAATGAGGTAATATGACAAAAACATAGAATAAAGGATGCTGACAGTCTTTATATCACTAGAAACATGATATGAGAAGGTTAAACCCTGATGGCTGAACCTGAGACGAAACCATTCAGATGCATATAATAGCCTGCTGGTGGAATGTTTTACAACCATGGAATTAAGAATATAATAGTAATTAACTTGAACATGAATTCTCCTCACCGAAATCAAAACTTTATAGTTTAGATGTATATGCACACAATATTAGGTGCCACAACCCGACCTCGTCTCATCTGCATCATGTAAATATTTTTTTCTCGGTATTTATATGTTGCATTTTTCAAAGCTTCCAAGTAATCAGGCAGACCGATCTTATCACAATAATTATTCCGCAAGGGAACATTTGGGTCTTTCAGGCAGAACTATGTTCATAACATAGTAGCTATCAGAGACTATCTACAGTCCTCAGGCCTAATGTGTGTCGCATACGACTTATGTACCACTTCTGTGTCACTGAGAATGTTCTAGAACCGTACTGTGTCTGGGTGGAATATTCTAGATTTTGTTTAGAAACTGGTTGAATAGGTAATAGAACACTGTAGGAGGCAATATAAGGTAATGGAACATTCTAGAAATTGGTAGTAAGTTCCAGACTCATTATGTATGCTGATGTAATGGTATATTTATAGAACAGTGTGGGTATATATAGGGGAGTTGTTCAGAGTTCA